ACCGGAATGATGCACAAAGGATTTCCAACTACCTTCTTAGACATAGACATATGAAAAGAGATAATACAGGGAGAACAACGATGGGAAAATATCATACTCATAGTGCGGCCTAATGTGAACTACACTTATTTCACCTTCATTATCAATTCACGTAACATCTTCAGGGAGAAAATATTGAGAATAACCCGTTCACCTTCCTAAACTCTAAATCTCTACGTGAACACCCACGCTAAACCTGTGATGACCTTCAACAATTACTCTAAGATGTGCTATCATAAACTGACCATAAAATTACCTATCGAATATATGTGATCACACGGTGAAGCTTCCTCTTTGACTTGTTTGAACCTTCAATACCCAATAGATTTAATGCAATGGGGAACAACATAGTTCAAGATTGGGCTAGAATTATCCAGAAAATCATTAATGTGCTGAGCAGAGTATTTCATGAGGTTATATGCTAAGTGACACGAAGATTACTACCAACAATACTGACATGGTTAATCATTGTGACGACATCAATTATTAGACAAATGAGGCATAGAGGTAACTAGGACATTGGCAATAGGAATCATTAAGGAGGAATATCCAAGTACATGACCCAATCGTCCCCTGGAGTGTAGGGAAAATCAGTTTATCAAGAATGAGAATACTCTGGCACCTTGAATGCGGCATGGGTTTCAAAATACATGAAGTTGAATTACATTCCTAACGTTAACTGACACAAGGAATCTATTCCACAAGCCCATGAGGATGAAAAGAAGTTGAACACTTATGAGATTATCATATTTCAAACAGCTTAACCCTTCCTGATAATTGATCCTATATGAGAGAACTAAAGATACGACAACTTGTCTTCCAAATCAATATGCTCATGATATGTGCAAAAATCTGAAGGCATCTAATCTCAACCTTTCACGAGTAAAACCACATAGCTAGGACATCTTAATATTGGGATGAAATCATGTATTCGTTAGAGGGGTTCTAATGGTTAACATGATACTCCCGGGAGAAAGACAAATAACAATCCTATCCACCCAGGGAGGTGGAATACCAAGGGTAGCAAAACTCCCCGCACATGACAATGACATAGTCAATGATTCTAGAAGTCGAGTGTGTAAAGACAACCGAACCCAATGAGACGGTACAAAATAATCATGGAAGGTTTGTAGATGTTCATAATGAGTTCTCCATGGATTTTGACTTGAGAAATACCCAGATGCTAATGAAAGACAGAAAAACATGAGAAACAGGTGTTGTGCTATGATAACCCCCAAAAGTGCATTAGGTCTTGATACAGAGCCTATTAATGGTCCTTATGAGAAAGGAAGTGTTACAGTGACATAGAAGGACACGTTCTCTCATGGTTATCGAACAAGTGTTGGGAAACAAGCCCAATGAATTCACTAACTAAGGAACACAATTAACGCATGTTGTGGCGGTATAAAGAGAAGATAAACATTTATTATGAGCATGACATGCTTCTGCTATACTAATTCCCAAACTGCAATACACGACCACGTCACGGGCAACCACAATTCTAGGAACAAAGTGAGCTACTTACTGTGGAATGATCTTAGTGGACATGAAAGTCATACTGAGATGGGCAAACAAAAGATCTTCCTATGAAGATTTGTAAAAATCTCAAATTTCTCAAAGAATCTATACGGACAAGCAGCCATTTCAATCAACATGTACACATATGATAGGAGGTGGGATATTCTCTCATGTTACTAGACAGTGAAAAGGTTTCATGATGATACTCGCAAGAGAGTAGAGTCACTGTTCAAACCATAGAAGCCATATACACCAGTGAGAAAAAGAGTGACTCGAGAAGGATCGCAACACTGGATTCTTTACATGGAACTTGACACCACATAGGTAAACTTTAAGATGGTGCATGCATAGGCAAAAGTGAGCAGATGTTGTCCATTTAAATAAAAAGATTCTATAAGAAATTCATCAGGTATAGTCCCTTGTTGAGAATTTAGGAAAGCAAGTGGGAAGTATTAATCCTAGAGTTATAACTCAATTAAAGGACATAACTATAGAACTCAATTCCACAAGAGGATGCAAATAGGAGAATTTGTAATAGAGGGGGTTCACGAATAATGCATCTCGTTCAAAGAGTAGGTGCGTGCAATGTTTTGTGATTCAACATCTTGTTAAGACCATGTTTATGAGAACTCTTCAATATGGATGTACATATACAACAAGTAGGAATTTTGTGTTGTTCATAATGAGGTACTGAGGAGTGACTTACTTGGTGACTTTAGGTTGATAGGGAAATAACTTTATCGATGCCCCTCGACTCGACATCCCTAACGCACGTTGGTACCGTACTGATATACTACATGATCTAGTGGTGTAGTGACATTAATAAGGACAAGGGCACTCCCCTTAGCAATAGGTTCTACCAATCCCTCCATGGCTCGATACATTCTCTTAACAAACTCTTGGGAAATCTCCCCCGGATTAAATGGTGGGGTCATTCCCCCCTTACTGCTTCAAACTCGTGGATTAGGGTATCAACATTACTCATCTTGGGAATAAGACATAGCGAGGAAATTAGCTCCCTATCCTGAGCTCTACTGCACGATCTGGAGTATCAAAGAAGGGTGAAATTCCTAAATGTCCGAATAGCCTCCAACTTATAGATTTGGTCGACAACACACCGATAAGAAGGATCTCTACTAGACTCGGCTCCGACACATCCTAGGACACTTTAAAACCTTAGGCTCTGATACCAAGTTTGTCACGCCCCAAAATCGAGGAGCGCGACTGGCGCTCAACTGAGTAAACCCGACTGAGCAAGCCTATATGTCAAAATGGGGTCGGGTTATGAAAATAGGAAAATGAAGCCTCCGAAACAGAGTCTTCGGTCGCATAATGGACCGCACAATTGGTATGCGGGTCGCATAATGCACTGCAAAACTGGTGCCTAGAATTGGGCTACACTGGTCCATTTTGCCACGATTTTTGCGGTCGCAGATCCATTATGCGGACCGCGTAATGGTTTTGCGATCGCAGAATTTCCACGGGATCGCATTTTGCTAGCCTTTGATAAATTGATCATAACATTGTGTAGGAATGTCCAAATGACAAACGGTTTGAAGCATTAGAAACTAGACTCGAATACCTTTCATTTGATAGGTTGTTCATCACATAACACCTTATATATATTTATATATGCTCGTCCAAAGTGTGGACTTGTGCGAACTCATTTGGAATTTTAGCCCATTATGAAACTTTCCAATTTGGCTTAGACTTAGGCCTTTACTTGGACCTCAAATTACTTATTATAAGACTTATACACTTATTTACCAAATTCAATTGATGTCCATCATGTTTATAGCACGTAAAATATTTTAATTAGCCTACCTAGCAACATGAAATCCTAAATTACTTTGCAAAAATTTTTCGGGGCCTTACACCTATGGTGTTCATATTTTATCTCAGTTCATGCAGCAACCAAAAGAGGAGCATCGGGATGCAGCTTTACCGGTTGTTCGCTACTTGAAAGGGAATCTAGGACAACGTATTTTGTTAAAAAGCAAATATGATCTATATCTCTATGGATGGTGTGACTCCGATTGGGCTGGTTGTCCCTTGACGTGACACTCGCTCACAGGTTGGTTTATCTTTTTAGGTGACTCACCCATATCTTGAAAGACTAAGAAGCAGTATGTCGTCTCTCGTTCATCTGCAGAGGCTGAATATCGTTCTATGGCAATGAAATTCTGTGAGGTGAAATGGTTGATGAAAATTTTGTACAGTTTGGGAGTGATTACACTTCCTCTGTTCATCTTTATTGTGCCAGTCACGCAGCATTGCACATAGCAAAGAATCCAGTCTGTATGAAAGAACCAAACATATTGAAGTGAATTGTCATTTTATCCGTGACAAGATTGACAATGGGAATATTCGTACTAGTTTTGTGCCTTCATATGAGCAATTGATAGATATCTTTACGAAGGGATTAGGAAAATCTTAGTATGTTACTCTCTTGTGCAAGTTGGGAATTTATAATCCAAATGTTCCAACGGGGCGGGGTGGGGGTTGGTGGGTGTTAAAGCGTGTGTGTGCATGTGTGTATGAGTATATATGGATAGTAAATATATTTGTATATTTAGGACTAGGAGAGTTTTTCTTTCCATATTTGTTATGACTAGTTTTCTATATTTGTTAGGACTAAGGTTTATTACATGACTTGTATATATATTCTTGTTAATTAATTGAAGAAGGCAAGACTTTCCCTTCCATGCTTGGCCATTGTTTGCTTGCGTGCCTGGCAGATACCTTCATCATCCCAATAATTGTATTTCTTTCTTAAACTTCGTGTCCAATCAAACACCTTCAAGCGAAAAGACTATAATGTTTACAGTATGAAACAAACTTTATAATTGCTATAATATTTTCCTCGACAACGATAATTAATGTACAACACAAGTCAATTTTCTTTTAAAAACAAATTCTATATAAAGGGAAACAAGCAACTTCAGTCTTCTAACAATATTTAAACGCGGTATCCACGTAAGCACTATCATAAGAACTAGTATATAGGAAGTAATTTCTTTGTTGAATGGCTAAAATTAAAATATCAAGCGATAATAACCAAGTCAACGGCACTCTTTAGACAAAAATCATATAATTTCACTCATTAGAACCCATCACAAAAGTCAGTTTAAAATACATAAAAAATAAATAATCTACTATAAAGTCATATTCATATGATATAAATCTAGATTCGAAGCTACCGATAAGTATTTTTTGTAAAAAAATCTTATTTAAAGCTAGATTGTCCACAAAATAAAACTTAGCAAATAATTTAATTCTTTAAAGTTGAACTCAATAACCTTTGAAATCAAGAGATATTAATTCGATCTGATATATAATAATCTGATTTGGTGTTTAAAATTATTTATTCGAACCTGCCCATATGATTCATATATAATTGGATGGTAGAACAAGCACTTAAGTGGAGACCCAAAACTTAAACAATGGCAGAGGCAGCATCATCGACCACAGAGAAAAGGTTTTTGACTCTGAAGTCGTCAGATGGTGATGAGTTTGAATTGGAAGAATCCATTGCCATTCAGTCTGTAACAATCAAGAACATGGTCTAAGATGGATGCTCTCTCTAGTGTCATCCCAATGAGCAACGTCGACAAAGAAACCTTGATCAATTACATGAAGATTCACTCCTCCACTTCTTCAAATGAAGAAGATATCGAGAACTTCGACAAGGAATTTGTGAGCATTGGCTTCAAAACCATCTTTATAATCTTAGAAGCTGCAAATTTCCTTGACATCTATAGTTTGCTTGAGTTGTGCGCTGAGGCGGTGGATAATTTGATTAAGAACAAGACGCTTGAAGCTATTTGGAAGATTTTCATTATCACTAGTGACTTTACCCCAGAAGAAGAGGCAGAGATTCGGAATGAGACTCCATGGGCCTTTGAAGGGGATCTTGATCACTCCCTTGACTAGTTTACATTTGTGTCTTTACTATTTTTCGTTTCGTGAGCTTCTAGTTTTATTTGTTCCTCTTCTCTTTAGAGCAGAGATCTTGTAGCTAATAAATTATGGAATGAGTCAGAGTGTCTAAATAAAAGTTTTTGGTAAATTTAAGGGTCATCTATTTATTCAACATATATTTTATTATATGTGTTGTTTCTTTTAAATATTTTTCATGCATTATTCTACTTTTCTTTTATTCGATATGTGTTAAGAGTATCATTTTTGACTAGTACTCTACCCATCAAAGGTGCTAATTCTTCTATTAGATAATTATTCACTTGAATTCTACTATAAAATCTATTAATTAATATTGATAAATTCTATTAAATAATATTGATAAATTTTTATATTTATAGTGGATTTGATTAAAGAAAACAATGAATCTTGTGAGAATCCCTAACACCGATAATTCACGCCCTTGTACTTTCTTGTCCAAGCAAATGAAAGCCATAAAAGAGTAACTTTATCTCAATTTCCATTCCATAGTTCCCACCCCTGCTGTCATCGATAATGCGACGAGAAGTTCGCAATTGCGAATAGTGGACCTTCGCAAAAGAAATCAAAATGTTCGCAAATGCAATAATTGTTAAGCCTAGACCCCATTGCAAATGTGAACACTGGGTTCGCAAATGCGAACACATCAAACGCAAGCCAAACATCGTAATTGCGACTCATATCTCACAAATGCGAGACCTGAAGCATCAATGAAAAAACCCAGTAGAACATTACTCTATCAAATTGTAACACCCCGTAAATTTGGCTTAGGTATGAATGAGTCAAAGGAGTAGTAAGGTTATATTTTGGACATGTGAAGTCCCGTCGGGATGATTATGGGTGAAAATAGTTGTTTCAAAATCAAGATGGAAAGTGAGGTGCATAAGATTTGACAAAATAAACAAAGTTTCCAGAAGGTCCGTCTTCCAGGAGGGTTTAGTGACAATTTGTAATGCATTTGGAAAACTCAAAGCGTGAAAGTTGTAGGCCTTTGAAATAGCTTTCTAACGATATATTTTGAAGCCCAAACGGATCTCTGTGCAAAAAGTTATGCGCGTTTTACAGAACAGTGTGCAATATGCGCGCCCTAAGCGCGCCTCGAGTGTGGCCACGCTTCTTTTGAGGCAGTGTTACTGCCATTTTGCGCGGTCAGTAGCGCGGTCAGTCCTACAGGTGCGCAAGCGCGCTCATGGGGGGTCATTTTAAAGCCATACTTTGTCCCCACAGCCCCAAAACATAAATACTTGCTCTATAAAGGGAAGCTCTCAAAAACCTAACTCCTTAAAGGTCCCTCCACCATCCAAGGTAAGTTCTAATGGTGATTCTAAGTTAATTTTAATTTCCTAACATCTTATTAACATCGGTAAACCCTCCATATCATTAGATATTCGATTGGGACATCATTGTTGCGAGAAGAAACCCTAGAACTCGAATTCAAGGGGATTGAACTTCAAAAAGGTAATGTCTTCACCCTCTAATTGATTCTATCATTGGTTTAATGATTATAAACCCTAGTTCATGAGATATGAGTTGATGGGTTTGATAGAAAAGCATGAAAAATTAGAGAATTGGGTTGTTGATTGTTGATTATTGATTAAATATATCGTTTATCTTATGAGTGATAAAGAAGGGTATTGAACATAGCAATTTGATGTTTTAGAATTTATCTAGGAACAAGAGAATGGGTTATTNAAAAAGAGGTAAAAAAAAAAAAAAACACAAAAAAGAGAAAAATGAAGAAAGAAAGAAAAGAAGAGAGCGAGGAGAAAAAGGAAGAAAAATCACAACAACAAAGTAATTTCTATCACATGAACTACGTTCGACCTGATTCCTTTTATGGATACGTAGGCAGCCTCACGGTTCGGTCTCATCATAATAAAAATCCAAAAGTCCCCAAGAAAGAAACTGGGGCAGAAGTTGTGGTTGTGCAAGAGATTTGATTCCGATAGTTGCAATTTTGAACCCATTCGAATTGTTTTGACCCTTTTTGATACCCTTTTTTTTCTAACCCCACCCAAAAGCCCACATTACGGTCCAAAGAAAGACCTTCCGACCAATCTTCGAGAAATGCCAAGTCAAGAAGGTAGAGGTGATTCATGTCAGGGGCAGCACTCTGGTCCAAGCAAGGAAAAATTGAAAATGAGAGAGTCTTATTGGTGAAAACATTTACGGGCACCGTAAGGCGACAGGAGCTGAGAGAAATAAAAAATGAGAGAGTCTTATTGGTGAAAACCCTCACGGGCACCTTGAGGCGAAAGTAAGTTGAGAGATGAACAAATGAGAAAGGTCTATTGGTGGAAAACTTTTCAAGGCACCGCAGGATGAACAAGGTCAAGGTTCGGGCAAAGTAATCAGGTTATGGAAATTCTGGGGCAATAAAGTATGGCAACTGAAAGTTGATTGGTTGGACAGATTGGGCCGATTAATTCGAAATGCATGTCATGGTCATTAGAGTTGGTATCCACATCTGATAGGTTTCTACTTCGTAGTTTTCTCGTTAGGAATCATCTCTTTCCTTTGTCCTTTACTCTGTTCCATTTGTTTTGTTTACTTCCTCCTCTTGAGTCTGTTTGGTCATAACAAGTGAGAAATGACTTCAAAATCTGCCACCGGCTTTCCAAATGAACAAAATAGGATCTGGCTAGCACATCAAAAGTGTCACAAGTCAGGAAACAACAACAAGAGCACTGAGCTGGTAATAATCAGCATGCTTTGGGGATCCTTGTGAAATACAAAGGCTTGGTATATCAATTCATGAACAATGCAACAGATGAAGGGATAGGGTGAACAGATCAAAGGTATTCCCTGTGATAAGATTGATGAAAGGGTGGTAAACTAGTGACGAGCAAGACCTTCCAAGCAGAAATCAAAGTTATCATGATAAGTGAAGGAGCAACAGACCTCAAGGCCAAGGCTAGTGGATAAGTCAAGAAAGAACAACATATACACGGAGTGGGGGCAATGGACGTGCTTTGGGAATTCATGTGAGAAACAAAGGTTGGGGAAATGCCGGTTCATGCAATACAACAATAGGGGATATTGGGGTTAAACAAAGAAAAGGTATTTTACGTGATGAGGACGACAGAAAAAAGGGTTAGTCCATAAACAAGCAAGGTCTTCGAGTGGAAATCAGTCATCATGGGAAGTGACGGAGCAATCTCCCTCAAAGTTCAAGGCTACAAACCAACCACTATATTTTAAACTGACAAGATTTTTCTTTGATTGAAATAGGGGCAGAAAATTTCATTTGTTTCGGAGAAACTCTCCGTAGGGGAAGAGAAAGCACCAAAACAGGTTTGACCGTACTCTCAGGACCCTCCAGGAAAATGTGGCTTAGTTAAAATTCAAAACAATCATGAGTAGCATAATTTAGCATAAGTGTATCCCAAAGGAATATAAGTTGGTTTCAATGTTTGCATGTTTAAGATAAGATTCAATTAGGAGTTGTCATGGCCTTCCTGGATAATAGGATGTAGTTTAAAACCCTCTTAGATAACAGAACTTAGCAGAAGTAATACCTTTAGAAGATGCAGCTTAGATCTATAATTGTCAGTTGTCGGGACCTCCCTGGATAATAGGGCTTAGTCTTCAAATTCTTAGCAATAGTTGGTAGAATGATTCATGTTTAACACTCACCCATGTGCCCAGCTACCAAACTAGGGCAGAAAATTTTCCTTGTTTTTGTCTATTTTGTTGAAGTCAGGTGCCCGCCTGGATAGCAGAGGAATACATTCAAGTTTTGAAGTTAGGAGCCCGCCTGTATAGCAGAGGATTACATTTCAAGTTTTGAAGTCAGGAGCCCGCCTGTATAGCAGAGGAATACATTTCAAGTTTTGAAGTCAGGAGCCCGCCTGTATAGCAGAGGAATACATTCAAGTTTTGAAGTCAGGAGCCCGCCTGTATAGCAGAGGAATACATTTCAAGTTTTGAAGATAAGAGCCTGCCTGTATAGCAGAGGAATACATTCAAGTTTTGAAGTCAGGAGCCCGCCTGTATAGCAAAGGAATATATTTCAAGTTTTGAAGTCAAGAGCCCGCCTGTATAGCAGAGGAATACATTTCAAGTTTTGAAGTCAGGAGCCCTCCTGTATAGCAGAGGAATACATTTCAAGTTTTGAAGTCAGGAGCCCACCTGGAGAACAAGGGAATACTTTTCAAGCTCAGCAATCAGGAGCCCACCTGGAGAACAAGGGAATACTTCAAGCTTCAGCAATCAGGCGCCCACCTGGAGAACAAGGGAAGTACAATTCAAATTTCAGCTTTTAATTTTTAATATTTGATAACATGCTGTACCCAGCCACCAACTGGGGCAGAAAATTTTCTTTGTTTGTTTATTTTGTTGCAGTCAGGAGCCCCCCTGGAGAACAAGGGAATACTTTTCAAGTTCAGCAATCAGGAGCCCACCTGGAGAACAAGGGAATACTTTTCAGGCTTCAGCAATCAGGAGCCCGCCTGGAGAACAGAGGCATACATTTCAAGTTTCAGCAGTCAGGAGCCCGCCTGGAGAACAGAGGAGCCCGCCTGGAGAATAGAGGCATACATTTCAAGTTTCAGCAGTCAGGAGCCCGCCTGGAGAACAGAGGTATTACAATTCAAGTTTTAGTTTTCAAATTCTTATTAATATCTGGTAATATGATGCCCAGTCACCAAACTGGGGCAAGAGATTTTCTTTGTTTTTGTCTATTTTGTTGAAGTCAGGAGCCCGCCTGGAGAACAGAGGCATACATTTCAAGTTTCAGCAGTCAGGAGCCCGCCTGGAGAACAGAGGTATTACAATTCAAGTTTTAGTTTTCAAATTCTTATTAATATCTGGTAATATGATGCCCAGTCACCAAACTGGGGCAAGAGATTTTCTTTGTTTTTGTCTATTTTGTTGAAGTCAGGAGCCCGCCTGGAGAACAGAGGCATACATTTCAAGTTTCAGCAGTAAGGAGCCCGCCTGGAGAACAGAGGCATACATTTCAAGTTTCAGCAGTC